GGAGGAGGAGGAGGAGGAGGAGGAGGAGGAGGAGGAGGAGAAGGAGGAGGAGAAGGAGGAGGAGGAGGAGGAGGAGGAGGAGGGAACAAACTCAAAGTATTGGCCTTGCCCAGAGACCCTCTGCCCTTGAAACCGCCTGTCCCACCAAACACATGCTGAAACCTCACCTCCCAGCGATATCTTCCCCAGCAGTACCTTCCTCAGAAATACCTCCCCCAGCGGTACCTACCTCCCCAGCAGCGCCTTGATGTCGTTCATCTTCCACCCCTCCGCCACCTCCTCCACCGTCTGCAGCACCGTCTTGTCTAAGTCCAGTGCTTGCGCCTGATGGAGGGAAAGACGGACAAGTCGCGATAGAGAGGGAGTGAGCCACGCAGCAGCCAGTGACTTCCCTCCGCCACCTCCTCCACCGTCTGCAGCACCGTTTTGTCTAGATCCAGTGCTTGCGCCTGATGCAGGGAGAGGGGAGAGAGGGGGGAGAGGCGCGGGGAGCGAGGGCAGAGGGACGAGAGGAGTAGGCGCACCCGCCACCTCCTCCACCATCTTTTGTCCAGGTCCAGAGCTTGGGCCTGGCAGATGGAAATGGAAGAGCAGGGAGAGAACAAGAGGGACAGGGAGGGCGGAAGAGGAGCAGGGGAGTGAGGAGCAGGGGAGTGAGACGCAGGGGAGTGAGAAGCAGCCCTCCCCTCCGCCACCTCCGCCACCGACTGCAACACTGTTTTGTCCAGGTCCAGTGCTTGAGCTGCTGCAACTGACTGACTCAGACAGTACCAGACGCACCTGGTTCTGAGCAAAGTAGTTGGGCACAACGCGGTGCTCCCCCAGGGCCACAATCCCATGCTCGGGCTCTTCAAATCCCACAATAAATCGAAGGAGGGTACTCTTCCCGCACCCATTCGGTCCAATGAACGCCAGCTTCTCGCCGCGTTCGATCTGCAGCTTCGCCTTGTCGAACAGCTCGTTTCGCTGCTCCTCCCCGCCGCCGCCGTTGCCGGCGCTGCGCTTCGCGTAGCTGTGCGAAAGGTTCGCGATCTGCACTGTGATGCGCCCGCTGCGCTCCAGCTCCGGGAAGCGGAACCGCATCTGCTTGCGCTCGAACGGTTTCTCCACCGCACCCTCTACTTGCAGGCGCTCCAGCGCCTGAGAGGAGAAGAAGGGGGGGGGGCAAGGTGAGGGAAGCGGAACCGCATCTGCTTGCGCTCGAACGGTTGCCCCACCGCGCCCTCACTTGCAGGCGCTCGAGAGCCTGAGGGGACACGGGGAATGCGCGGAAAGGGGAGAGATGGACGGAAGGGGAAGCGGAACCGCATCTGCTTGCGCTCGAACGGCTTCTCCACCGCGCCTTCACTTGCAGGCGCTCCAGCGCCTGAGGGAGTGAACGAGAATGGGGGCAGGGGAGGGACGGATAGTGGAGTGGAACAGGGATGAGCGGAAGGGGAAGCGGAACCGCATCTGCTTGCGCTCGAACGGTTAGCCCACCGCGCCGTCTACTTGCAGGCGCTCTAGTGCCTGAGGGGGGTAGAAGGGGGAAAGGGGGAGGGGATAAAGAGGATAGTATGGATGGACGGAAGGGGAAGCGAAAGAGGAAAGCGACAAAACAACGTCGCTTTCTCGCCCCTTCTTCCCGCATGCTTCTCACCTTCGCCCTCTCCCCTCACCTTCTCCGTGGAAGAAGCACGCCTCGCGTTCCCCCCTCCCTGCAGCCGCGAAATAAAATCATCTGTGCGCGCCATCCTAACCTCTTCCCCTTGAACTCCCCCATCGGCGCTATTTTCCCCTTGTCTCACTCACCTTCTCCGCGGAAGAGGCGCGCCCGGCGTTCCCCCCGCCCTGCAGTCGCGCAATCATATCCTCCGTGCGCGCAATCTCCTTCTGCTGCCGCTCCCACGCCATCCGCTGCGCCTCCACCCACTCCGCCTTCGCCGCCACGTACGCGCTATAATTCCCCGGGAACGTCATACTAATCCCCATCTCAGTCTCCACAATCTTATTACACAACTGGTCTAAGAACGCGCGATCGTGAGAGACGATCACCATGGGAACATCCTGCTGCTTTAAGTACTTCTCAAGCCATTCGATTGCGTCTAAGTCCAAGTGATTAGTAGGCTCATCCAGGAGTAATAAATCCGGCTGCTGCAGCAGAATTTTCCCCAGCGACATCCGCATTTGCCACCCCCCGCTATAAGAAGCCACGAGCCGCTCCGAATCCTCCGGACCAAACCCTAGCTCCGGCATCATCTTATTAATCGCCACGTCAACGCTGTACAAGTCGAGCGCCTCGGCTTTTTTCTGGAGGTCGTCGAGTTCGTCTAGAAGCCGCGACATTAACTCCATGTCCTCCGTGGCGCGTTCTAGCGCGGCTTGGACCTCTTCCAGCCGGTCTTTAATGTCCATCTGCTCCGCAAACGCGGAGAGAAACTCTTCGCGAACCGTTCGCGAAGGGACGACGTCGAACTCTTGCGTGAGGTACGCAATCTTCATGCTCGGCCTCGCTTTAAGCACAACTCCAGAATCCGGCTCGATTTCCCCGTTATAATCTTCAGCTGCGTGGTTTTTCCCGCGCCATTCACGCCGACGAGACCCACGCGCTCCCCACGCTTCACCTCCCAAGAAATATCCGTTAAAAGTTGCACTCCCTTGAACGTCTTAGTGACTCCCTCGAGGCGCACTCCGGATGCCACGCTCGACGCTCCCGCGCGATCGCCGGAAGTTTTACCGGAGCCGGCAGATTTAGCGGCTCCGCGACGAGGGGAGCCTGGAGGGGTACCGCCGGAAGAGGTGCCTGGAGACTCGAGATGTGGTTGTGAATGGTGAATTTCGTGAGGCTGCATAATCCCCACGTCTACTTCCTCCTCCACCTCTACTGCGACGGCGGCTTGCGACAGTTGCGACAGCTGTGCGACGGGTTTCTTCCCTTGGCGAATTCTGCACTCCGTCGGGCGAAAGGCGCGACGCTGAGTGCCGTGGAGGGGAAGGTTGAGAGAGGAGCCATGTCGGAATGGGATAGAGATTGCGTGGCTCGTCATGGGCTTAAGTTTAAGTGCGAGAGGAGAGGACGATAAGGACATGGAGTTACTAGGAGCCTGAGAAGCGCAAGCGGGTTTTATAGCGGAGCTAGAAAGCACGACGGGACCGCTCATGGTTTCGTGAACAGCGAGTTTCCTGTCGCCGGCCGGAACCTTGAAAACGAGACGGACTGTAGTGACAACAGCGCACCGCAAACGCGTGCCTGTGCGCAAGAAAAAGGAGCCACCTGAGTCGTCAAACGAAACGACACACTAAGCTGTTGCGCTTCCTGACTCAGCGAATGCCTAGTCAGAGGGAGCCGCTTCGCAGGAAAAAACGTGACAGGTTCAGGAAAAAGTGATGGAAATGGCAGCCATGGCTGGAATTTAGGGTGAAGGGAGCCACGGAGATATCGAGGGACAGAGAGGGAAGGTCCAAACAAGAAGGCAACGAAGAGTTGACGAAATTTCTAACGAAAGCCGGACGCCAACGAGGTAAGGACGGCGAAGCGAAGAGCTGACGGGAGCATGGTAACCAACTGACTGGGACACCCCACATGACTGGAAGCGATCTTTGATCTGACGGTCAGTGCTGATTGATGGCGGGGAGATCCGTTGTGGGAACTTCGAGATTGCTTGAACCTCTGAAATGATGCCAGTTGGCACCGGGCAACTTTCTGTTTAGGGTGAGGCAGGAGCGATTGTGATTGGATGTTGTGTAGTACCAGAGACGGCGTGGCGGCGCCACAGAGGGTACACGCAGGCGAAGCGGACCAACTGGCACGCGCGACTGATTGAGATGGAAAAGTGCATCCACAGGAATCGCGACGCGAAGCGATCGCAACCGCAAATTCGAATCTTCCTTCTCACAAAACATCACCACCATCAACACGTGCAGATTGCTGATATGGGGAGTTATTAGCGGAGGTTGTACATAATATCCCAAAATGAAAGAACCATTAACAAATATTCTCTAAAAGTGAGCAAAATACACATACAATATGCAGAGTGTCTTTCGACCCAATAAATCAACCAGATTTTGACCTAATCCGCACGCTAACTTAAAACTGATTATCGAACTGGATATGCTTATCGACTTCAGTGAAATAAGTGCTAACTAGCAATTAGCATACATGAGTGCCTCCATATACACTTAGGCAGACATGATGACGAAGAAGATGAAGAGAGCAATGGCAAACACTGCCATCACCCAACACGTCTGTGACAAGAGACAGGGGGCGACAGGGCAAAAGCAGGCATGAAGAAATGGTTTTAAGCAGACATAGAAGAGTCTTGTGTGGAAAGGGATGGGCGGGGCGGGGTAGGGAAAGGGCGGGGGGGGGAGGAGAGAGGGGAGGGGAAAGGGAAGCGATAAAAGGGAAAAAAGGGTGGAGGCAAAAGCGTACCAAAAAGCTGGGCATGCATTGACACTGTTTCAGATGCTAAAAGAAAGTCACCACATGATAAGGCATTCCAGGTTTAGAGTGCGTACGAATGAGCTGGACTCGCGTTGACTCCTCGCTGCCTGGGTAAGCTGTTTGTTGGCATTCACTGCCTGTGCCCTTGATCCCTCTATGTTGGCCTCTATGTCATCTGCAGGGAGGAATAAGAGTCAAGGCATGGGAATGGGCATCGGGGTCACAAGCGATTCGTGAGAACTGCTTGTTGGCATTGACTACGCTTAGCGCCTCCATGTTGGCCTCTTTTACGTCTGGATGGAGGTGACTTTTGAGTCGACTCATAAGTCAATGGGCATCAGGGTCACAAGAGACTCATGAGAGCTGCTTGTTGGCATTCACTGCCCTTAGCCCCTCCATGTTGGCCTCTTTGTCGTCTGGATGGAGCGTCCATCATGGAGGGCAGAAAGGACAGGCTCCAGAGGCAAGCTTCAGAATAATCCAGAGGCGAATACAAGGACACTCGCTCGCCCTTGATTCACCGATCATCCCTCCCTGCTCTTGGACCAGCACGGATAGGTCTTGAAAGTTCTCAATCACCTCCACTATCTGCACACTCCATATAAGCGCACTCATTACAAGCCCATGAACTCGCCCTTGACTCACCAATCATGCCTCCCTGCTCCCTGACCAGCACGGCCAGGTCTTGAAAGATTTCATTCACCTCCACTCTCTGCTGCTGAATCTCCTGAATGCCTTATGGCCTACTCGTTTAAAGCCCACTCGATATAAGCCTACTCATGACGAGCCTAACACCTTGCCCTTCACACACCAATCGTGCCTCCCTGCTCCCGTAAGAAAGTGCTTCGCCGTCCAAGTAGCAGCTGTGGCAAACTCGTCACGCGCAGCGACAGGAGGAACGGGAGAATCATAGGAAGAGCAATGAGTTACGCTAGTCGGCGAGGGTGAATCGATAGGGTGAATCGATAGATGTGCTCTTATAGATTCAGGGAGGATTCCTGGCTTCGGGACTTCCGGTGTTTGGGCCTTCCGAACATGTGGGCTGACTCGAGGTGTAATACTGCATCTCGTGTCAACGACCACATTTCCCACGCGATTTTTTAGGTCTGAGTTGACGAGAGTTACCACATCTCGTCACCCACGCCCTGCTGTTCATTGGTCAGATGTTGTTTTACCAACATCGTGCGACTTCAACTCACGCCTTCACGATCGGCCACGCGACCACAACATTGACAGTCAGCCGTCAATGTCGAAAGTGTTGCACGTGCGCGCATTTGGCGAAGCTGTCTGACGTCGATTCAGTGGTCTTGAAAGATTTCATTCACCTCCACTATCTGCACACTCCATGTAAACGCACTCATTATAAGCCCACAATCTTGCCCTTGACTCACCAACCATGCCCCCCTTCTCCCTGACCAGCACGGCCAGGTCTTGAAAGATTTCATTCACCTCCACAATCTGCTGCTAAATCTCCTGAATACCCACTCACTATAGGCACAGTCATTACAAGCACATAAACCCTTGACTTACCGATCATGCCTCCCTGCTCTCGGACCAGCACGGCCAGGTCTTGAAAGATCTCGTTCACCTCCACAATCTGCTGCTGAATCTCCTGAATGCCCTGCTCCCGCTCCTCTATCACGGCCTCGTTATAAGCCAACTCGCCTTCCACTACTGCCATCTCGTGTCTGCAACAAGGGAAAGGCAGGGGCGAGAGGGCAAGAGTGAAACGGCAAGGAGGGGTGAAAGAGGGTAAAGGGGGGTGACCTTTGAGCGGACTCACATTTTAGCACGGAGTGAGAAGGCAAGCTGTGGGGAAAAGAGCGAAAGATAGACTGGTAAATGTGGACGCGAGTGTGGGGGGGGTGGAGGGTGTTTGGAGGTGTGGGAGGATGTTGGGGGGGACCCCAACGAACCACTATGCATTTACCCACATGCAGAGCTCTCTCACACCCACACCACACTCCCCCCCCCTCTCATCCCCTCTGCTCTCCTCTCACATCCTCGCAGTGTGAGAGACCTTAAGCGTCTCAGAGCTCTCACATTCAGACCTGAAGCTTCTCAGAGCTCTCACATTCAGCTACCCGCCCCGCTCTCACTTAAAGGTATGCTGAGACGTCTCACCTCTGCTGCGCTAGCAGCGGGTCTCTCTGCTCCTCCCTGTCCGCCTGCTCTGCCAACTGCGCCCCACCTGACCCTCCGAAATTACACAAGCCCACACACACTGCTTGTTTTGAAAAGTCTCAAAGCAAGTCTGCTCTCACCTCTGCTGTGCTAGCAGCGGGTCTCTCTGCTCCTCCCTGTCCGCCTGCTCTGCTAACTGCGCCCCACCCGCCCCTCCGAAATTAGACAAGCCCACATTGCCTGCGCCCCTGCGGACGAGAGGAACGGGAAAAGACCACCACAAAGGGGCATGAGTGAAGGGAAGAAAGAGAAGAGGTACGGGGTAAGGAAAATAACGCGAAGTGAAGAGACGTGAAGGTGCTGCGCGCGCTCAAACTCACATCACTTTTCTGTCTCACCATCTGTAGACCCTCTCACTGCAAGAAAGGCTGCCTCACACACCCAACCTCCTCTCACGCACCTCTTCCCTCTCCCTCTGCCTGACGACCCTCCTGACGACCCTCCTGACGACTGCAACGAGATGCCTGACGACCGTCCTGACGACTGCAACGAGATGCCTGACGACCCTCTCAACTGAGGGAAGGTACCTCACAACTCATAATCACACAAACCCAACTCCTCTCACGCACCTCTTCCCTCTCCCACTGCCTGACGACCCTCCTGATGAGCCCAACGAAGCCACGGACGGGGCCCCACCCGCCCCCCCTGCGGGCATCTGCGCGTTTCCCCCGCGGCGGGGGCTCTCAAAGGGCGCGAAGGCGGCCTCCCGCTCCGCCGCGAGGTGCTGCGCGCGCTCGAATTCCCGCAGCACTGCCTGGAAGTCCTTGGCTAGCTTGGCGTCGCTGATCTTCTGCGTCGCCTGCGGTTCAACAAAGGGGGATGAGGGGAAATGGGCGTCCGGGTTGAGGGAAAAGACGAGGGGAGTTCGTTACACGCAGCACTGCCTGGAAGTCCTTAGCTAGCTTGGCGTCGCTGATCTTCTGCGTCGCCTGCATAGAGGATGACGATGGAAGGAGGGAGGAGCGGGGAGGGAGGGATGCGTGGGGGGAAAGGGCGGGGGTATGGGAGGGGGTTGAAGGGGAGGGAGGAAGGGGAGTGTGAAGGAGATGGGACTCAAGATGAAGACAGCGGAATGGTAGTGCGCGAAATAATTGGGTAGGATGAGGGACAGGAGGAGGAATGCGGACGGGGAAAGGGGGAAGCGTGGGGTGGTAGGAGAAAGCGGAGGCGGGGGACGGGGGGGGGGGGGGGGGGGGGGGGGGGGGGGGGGGGGGGAGGAGATAGGATGGGAGGTGGGGTGTGAAGGAGACGGCACTCACGCTGACGCCAGCGGAATGGTCGCGCGCGGAAGCATCTTTCAGCTTCTGCGCCGTGTCCTTTGCCAGATGGCTGATGTACTGCCGCGACTTGTGCCTGTCGTTGACGGAGGGTTGACGGACGGTGACGAGGAAAACCGGGAGAAAAAAAGGACGGGGGGAAGACGGATGTGAGGATGTGAGGATGCTTGCGATGAGAATTGAGGTGCCACGGCAGACGGCCAGAGCTGCGTACGAATGAGTCTCCGAGACGTGCAAGAAGAAACCGAGCATAGGGACGAAGAAGCGACAGAGCACTAAGGATGAAGACGCAAGCGAGGGCTCGAAGGCTCTCGGGTAGGAGCAACATATTCCGGTCCCAAAAGCCACGTGATGACGACAGACGAAACCCTAACGGCACGTGGGTGGCGGTACAGCCTCTCACGGAGTTCAACAGCGCTGTTCGAGCTACTCAGTGTGCTGACAGCACGACTAGAAAGAAATTAAATAAATAAAGAAACAAATAACATATTAATCCTTGGATCTTCGTAATCAATATAAGATGATCTCCACGTACAGCTTCTCACGGAGTTCGACGGTGTCCTTAGCGGTACCCAGCGTGTTGACGAGCCGCTTGAACGTCCCCACTGCCGTATTCATCTGAAACACGCCTGAAGCCACCGCCTGACTTGACAGAACCGTCTGACTTGACGGCCCAGAAGTCGGCCGACCGACTCCGTTCATACCCCCACCGGCAGGCCCGGACGACCGGCCGATGTCCTGAAAGCTCATGCTGACGTGGTGTCGTCGAGCGGTCTTGGTGCCTTTGCGTTCTAGAGTGCTCCGCTTCCCGCAACTTCGCAGCCAGCTGAGTCGATCCTGTGAAAACAACCCTCGACGTTCCTATACGTTTAACACGACAGCGATAAGCGGCGGCTTAAGAAGGTGGTCTCCAAGCGCGTACCTACTGCCGCGTGGTTCTAGAGTTGGACTTTGCGTGGTTCTGCGTGCTTCTGCGAGATGACTAACAAGCCACCCAAGTGCTATCCTTCTCCTACTGCTGCCTGGCACTCTTTGCTTTTCGAAACGACTTACAAGTCATTCAAGTGGAGTCAACCTACCTCTGCCACGCTCAGGATGCTCCTACAACTACTTTTAAAGCCTCTTACTATCAGACAGGCTAAGGAGATGAGGTTTCATAACGGATCACGGATTGATATTCCCTTGCCGAAACTCACGACTCTCTGAGCATTAGCATGGCATGTGGCATATTTCTCCTGCGCGCCATGTGCGGCATACGGCGTATCTGTGTATAAGAACCTAGCGCAGTAGTAGCACGGCAACTTCTTCACTCCAGAAAAGCTCGTTTGACGACTTGAAAAGACCACAATAACCGAACCAACAGCCCCCCAGCATTCCAGATTCGACCGTGATTCACCAACGGCAGGTTGCAAGTGGTAAAATGTGGTTGATTGTGATTTGGTAGGATGGAGGTAATTTGAGGTGAGGTAAGATCGCCTTCCTGGGCTGTAGAAAGTTCGAAGTGGGGATAGCGAAAAGTGCACTCGGCTCGGAGGCTCCAGGCGAGCAAAGATACCCTCGCTTCAACCACTCCGTTACAGGCCAACAATCCTGATACCACTGTTGGCCAATTTTACACAATTAACTAATTGATATTAGATGGATAATGCACACATCTAGTTCACTTTTGGTTACATAATTATTTTTAATTTAGTGAATTATTTAAAAAAAATATATAATAATTCATAAAATTTTAAACATTAACAAGGGATGTTGAATTGTTGATTCCCCCTCCTTAATACTCAATAAAAACCAGTCATAATGCTATATCACTATTGAAGCTTCAAATACAGCGATCTTGTCTTTGGTAACTACAACAGAGCATCCAATCTTGCAACAGATGCCCTTCCACATCAGACACGGAGTATCCAATCTTGCTTGCTGTGGTCCCCCCCATCACTTACATGGCCAGGCTAGTCGCAATCTTAGTGGCGGACGTCCAGTGGTCGACAAGCGTGGTGCTAGTAACCCTCCTTGATCAGCTGACGTGGTGTAAAATGGTTGGCCTGCTGGTCCTGCCAGCACGGCTCCACGATTAGGTTCGGAGTTGAGGTTGAGCTTTCAAACACCTCCTTTCTTCACGGAGGGCGGCTCGTGGTAAGAATTGCAGCCCCTGATCGCAGCACGTTCCCGTGCAATCCTGTTCGCTCGATTGGCGAAGTTCCAGGAGGGTGTTGCGACACTCTCTCCGTGTCTCGCAGGGTGTCGCCTGCATCACATTGCAGAGACGAAACGCGCCAGCAGAGATCAAACAGCGAATGAAATTGTCAGAGACAACCTCCGGGAAAATCCGAACCGTCCGTTGTATTGATAACACAATTTGGATCAGCGGAAGCGCAAATCGACCATCCGATCAGCGCGCAAGTCACGAAACGCACGAGAGAGGTCACATCCATTCCCGAGGTGGGTATAGTTGTCCAAAAAGCAGATAGGCAGTAGGGAAGTGAAGGGAAGGAAAGGGAGTCAGCCAACGACGTTGATCTCAACAAGCAGACTAGTAATCGACAGTACGACGAGGCACGAAGACTAGAGACCAGTCTCGAGTCGAGAGAGGTGGTGGTAGGAGGCGACAAGCGAAGAGGCTGCCTTGAAAGTGACGGGCGTGTGGTTTGGGGGGCTTTATCCATCAGAGTCACGCTTCTGTCGCCTAAAAAATCGTTATCCATTACTTTCGACGTGTCTGGCATTTAGTGCTGCTGGATACTTGCCAAGTCGTTGTTGCCTTGTCGACAAGGTCTCTGATTCTAACAGGTCCTCTTACCATCGTTCCTTCAGACGCCCAATGCGTGACTAGTAATTTACCGTGTAATAAGTGCAACTAATCTTGCACTTCTTTTCCCGGGCTTTTGGGTAGCTGATTGCGTTCGCAGTCACCGTATAGTCATCAGCAGCAGATAAGGTTATGGTAGCCTCGCTCGTCACAGAACCGGCCACTGATCTAGCTTGTTGCGAGCACATGGCGAACAGTTGTCCGCAACCTCCGCTACCGAGAGTTTGCAACAAGTGGTTGGCCAATGGCCGACCAGCAGCAGAATCGACTATTCTAGTAACTGGAGGAGCAGGGTACATCGGTAGTCATACATGCGTTCAGCTGCTACTAGAGGGCTACAGGTAACAGACCCTGGTCGATCTTTTTACATTTATAATTCTAGTAATTGCTCAATAATAGTTTTGTTCCTCGTCGACCAGTTTCCTTAGCGTCTGTACAGCCTCTTTATAGCTGCTCATGATACGCTCCTTACCAAGCTCACTGACTGAGGACCTGGTCATCATCGCGATGCATGGCTAACATGGTGGTTAATCTAGTTCCTCCGATTTGTCTGACACGTGGTGTCCTCAGAGTGGTTGTGGTGGACAACTTGGACAATTCATCAGAGCAAGCCGTGAAGAGAGTGGCGGAGCTCGCAAGCGAAAACGGCAGGAACCTAAGATTCTTCAAGGTCAGCCAAGAGTGCTTTTTGAATGAATTTTGTTACATTAACATTATCATTCTTCAGATCGGTCAAGAGTGCGGTTCTGGCACTGGCCTGACTCGTCGTACTCAGGTACAAGCTATTCCCGCTTTTTTGGTAAATCAGAAAGCATTCTGCTGATTGGGATGGAATGGATGCAGGTTGACTTACTTGACAAGGAAACACTCGAAGAGCTCTTCAATCAAATTCAGTGAGTAAATATCGCAAGTAAATAATTCAGTAAGGAAAGTAACCAAAACTAGAAGCCTTTCGGGATGCAATCTTCTGTTACCTCATCCAGTGACTTCAGAATCGAGCCAGTATTTTTTTACTCGGCGAAGTGGAGTTTGAATGGTTTCAGAACCCTTCGATGTGTTGTCGCCTGGCGAAATTAGCTTGGTACCTTTCCGTTTAGTGTGTGTCTCTACGCTTCCCGTCCAACGCGATAGCTTCACCTTTTTCTTTCCGCGTGTGCTCTGGTGCATAATTGGACGATTATTCCCTTGCAATGTTCCGCTAGCACTTGGAATGCAATGACTGACTTGCAATGCTACACTTGCAGCTTCGACGCGGTGATTCACTTCGCGGGGCTGAAGGCCGTGGGAGAGAGCGTCAAGTTCCCGCTCAAGTACTACCAGAACAACGTCACCGGCACGCTGAATCTGCTGGAGGTCATGAGCGACCACGGCTGTAAGAAGGTACGCCTTATAAGACGCCTCGGTAACAGTCTTATAGGAACAATGCCACAACAAAGAGAGCATCACCGCTCATTTCTCGACTCCATGAACCCCCCTCTGATCCCCTTACTCTCAAATCTTGTTCTCTTCATCAGCCACGGTGTGCGGCCAGCTGAAGCTGGTACCCTGCACGAAAGTCGTTCCTCCCACACCTGCAGAAATTGGTACCTTTCCCTTTTTACTCCCTCAACCCTCCTTTCATCCCCGCTCTCGCAGATCGTGTTCTCTTCGTCAGCCACGGTGTACGGCCAGCCGAAGCAAGTACCCTGCACGGAGAACGACGAGCTGCAGACGCTGAACCCGTACGGCCGATCCAAGGTACGACAGGGCACGAAAGGGTACGACAGGTAACGAAAGGATCAGCAAATTCAAGGTGTGGCACTAGAGTTGAGAATTGTGAAGAATGGTTTTCATGAATGTAGCATAAGGGAAAACCAGGTAGTTATGCTTTCCTGGCTAGCTTCTTATCGGGACCTGATAATTATCCTCGTATCAACAGTAAAAAAAATAAAAATAATTCCACGTTCTTTGTGTGTTCGGTTCCAAACACCCCCGTTATAAACCGCGTCATGTGCTGTGCTTTGCAGCTGAACATCGAGCGCGTGCTGCAAGACGCGTACGAGTCGGACGCAGCGTGGATTTTGAGACGTCTCAAAACCCGACATTTATCTCTGTGCTGTGCTTCGTGTGCAGCTGTACATCGAGCGCGTGTTGCAGGACGTGTACGCTTCAGACGTGGCGTGGAGCATCGTGCTGCTGCGCTACTTCAACCCCGTGGGCGCGCACCCCAGCGGGCGCATCGGGGAGGACCCGCGCGGCATCCCCAACAACCTCATGCCGTTCATTCAGCAGGTCGCCGTGGGCCGGCGGACGCATCTGTCGGTGTTTGGGAGCGACTACCCCACACGCGATGGCACCGGGGTGAGTGGGAGTGGGTGGGAGTGGGAGGTCTCGGGGTCAGTGGCGTGTGGGGTATTGACGGAACGAACCATGCGTTGTTTTAGAGGGGCCTCAAAAGAAATTGGGATTGTATGGCGCCTTATAGGGGGCCACGGAACCAACGAGCTAAGGTCGTTTTTCCTCCTAGTGGTAGATCCGAAGCGAATGAGCCATGACATGAACTCTTTTCACACGGTTGCAGCTGCCAGTGCATTGTTGCAGGATGCTTTCCCGTTGGTGGTCCTGACGTCCCCTCGGCAATGGCATTCAATGTGCAGGTCACAATACTTCTCATTGTGATTAATTACCCTATTACAAGGTGCTTCGCACCATCTTCCCCCATTCCGTTCTGCAAAACAACTCGTGTTCTTGTTCCGCTGCTGTTTCTTGCCTCCGGTCATTGACCCCCCCCCTCTCTCTCCACCCTTCCTCCCCCCTTTCCCCCTCCCCTGACTTGTGACGCGGATGCAACCCCTTCTGACGTGGCGTGACCAGGTGCGGGACTACATCCACGTCATGGACCTTGCTGCAGGCCATGCAGCAGCGCTGAGGCGAATATTCACGTGCCAGACAGGAGGTACGTGAAGTGGCAGCCAGATGTAGATTCAGAAGCAGCAGCTCTCTTTCCCACAATGTGGCTTTCCACGCCTCTGTCTCCCCTAGTCTAGAAACCCCTCGTTGTGGTCGCTTCTCTTGCAAAGACCTCCAATGCAGACACCCTTCGCACCTCCCCCTTGCACTCCCCTCACCTCACAATCCCCTTGGCTAACTGCGCGCCCTCGCACTCTCCTCCCCCATTCCACCACCTCCAGGTTGTGACGTGTACAACCTGGGCACAGGCAAGGGCGCCACAGTGCTGGAGATGAGGTGACCTTTGAGTAAACTTAAGAACTCTATTGAACTCTTGTACTTCCCTCTCACCCGGCCCTCCACTTGCAGGCTGTGACGTGTACAACCTGGGCACAGGCAAGGGCACCACAGTGCTGGAGATGGTGGCTGGATTCGAGAGGGCATGTGGCCAGGTGAGAGGGCCCTGCTGATTGTGGTTTTCCGTGATAAACTACCTCTGAGCTGTTTCAGTAGTGTTATGCTCCACTTATGCAAGCGCGTGTCGTTGAGACGTCGCTTTTCCCCTCTCCTGCGTTTGACCCTCGCTTCTCTCAATCTCTCAATCTCTCACCATAGTACTCATTGAGTGTGCGTGCCCTGCATTCATTCATTCATTAATTCATTCATTGTGTTTTTTTGGCTGGCCTCGTTTTGCTTCCTGTCTTGCAGAAGCTTCCTGTGAAGTTGTGTCCCAGACGACCAGGAGACTGTTCCGAGGTCTTTGCATCCACAGACAAGGCGCAACAAGACCTCAACTGGAGGTAAGAACTGCATCTAGGGTTGACTTCGAGTAAATGTGCATTTTTTTCGTGGCCGAAGTCCCCTACTGCATGCATGCTTACTTGGTGCCCTTATCACTTGTGTTGTTATTCTATGCTTTACCCGGATTATTCTTTGCAGAGCTACACGCACTGTGGAGGACATGTGCCGGGATCAGTGGAACTGGGCGAGGCAAAACCCAATGGGGTATGCAGCAGATGAAGATAGTGAGGAGGGGGAGGAGAGTGTATCAGGAAGGGATGCAGCAAATGGAGTTGGCTCTCTTGGGGTCTTCAAAACCAGAGGCATGGGGTGCCGGAAAGTCTCTCTTATTAGCATATCGCCAATCTCGAGTTGCGGGTCGTTGGGGTCGCTGGATGACTACCCTAGTTTGGAAGGCCAACACAAAGTATTGTAACAATTGGTTAGGGGCATCTGGGTGGAGCTGCATGGGAGCGTGTATCCTGTGTAGTGTGGGTAGGATTTGCCATTTGGATTTATTTATACTCCTTTTAGCACCCTGTTGTGAATAGGTGTCCTAATTAGGCCCTAATAATATTTTATTTCTTGGGAAGGTTATTGAAGGTCTTATACGCATTTCTGACATGTTGCTGGACTGGACAGGTCGGCTCAACGTTAGGGATCCACGTGGCGAGGTGTCGGCAAACGCATTGGTGATGACGACACGTCATGGATCGGGTCCGTTACGTCAGTCGAATGCATTTTTTCAGGCGAGGCGACATTTTCAAAACGATAAACATTTTCGAGCTTCAGTGGCTAAACATTTTCGTTTGCCCTGCGATTGCGGTAAAAGCAATATCTTTTCAACTCGGCTAAATAGGAAACAGTTTTTATCGAGAGATCCTTCCAGTGTTTAGCAACTACGACCCCCGCCTCCGGAATAATTTTCCATCCTTCATTTGCATTGCTCCTTTTCCCGCCAAACAAGCAACCTTCATCCCCCCCAAGCCTTGCCAGTCCCAAGCCAAGCCAGCCTCCCCCTGATACTACTAGCACTTTCGTTATCCTCCATTGCTGCTTGTTCCACCTTGCTCTGACATACCTTCCTGACTTTCCTTGCCGCCTGCTGCTGCGGCCGCTTCTCCTGTTGCAAGAAGTGCGACACTTGTCTGGCGGGAGCTTTGTTAGCTACGCTTGCGTTCCTCTTCTAGGCGGGTTATGCCGGCAAGGATGGCGGGAACCCTGCGCTATGTCCTGCCGCTGGCCCTAGTCTCGCTTATCGTCGTCCCTTTCGCGCGCGCCGACGATGACGTTTCCGTTAGTACTGCGGAATCAGATGTTTTTTTGGAGTCGGATAATAATTCTGACGATCCCTCGGATAATATCTTGGGATCTACGGAGGTGAATCATATCCTCTCCAAGCTTCCCGCCAGCCACCCGCTGCTCGGCGCGCTGCGCAATCCGGCGGAACACTTCGCGCGTTTCATCCACCGTTTCAACAAGTCGTACGCGGCGGATCTCCGCCAGTACCGCGCGCGCCTGCGCATCTTCCGCGCGAACCTCCTCCGCGCGGCGCAGATCCAACTCCAGGACCCCTCCGCGGAACACGGCGTGACCCCCTTCTCAGATCTAACCCCGGAAGAATTCGCCAAGACGCATCTCGGCCTGCTGCCCGTTGATTCCGCGCGGTCCGCTCGCAGCGCGCTTCTGGAGAGCCTTAAAGCGGAGGGACGGCTGGAGCGGTCCGAGCTGCCGACGGGGGATCTTCCGGAGGAGTTTGACTGGCGCGAGAAAGGAGCGGTGACGGGCGTTAAAAACCAGGTACGTTCGAGTCGGGAGATATCTATTGGGACCTGGCTGAGAGATATTTATCGGGAGGAGGGCATGGGGATTGGGTTTGGCGCGAGAAGGGAGTGCTGAAGGGTGTCAAGAACCAGGTATGGAAAAAGAATCAAGCGATAAGTTCTACTTTTTTTTTTTCTTCGTCTTCTTCTTCTTCTTCTCGTAATCATTTACACCTTTTGCCCATCCTGCTGCATCTCTCTTCGCCCCCTTGTCTCTCCCCCTCCACCCAGGGCATGTGCGGGTCGTGCTACGCTTTCAGCGCGGTGGGCGCGTTGGAGGGCGCGCACTATCTCGCCACGGGCGATTTGATCAGCCTTAGCGAGCAGCAGATTGTCGACTGTGACCATAACGTGAGTGGGGAGGATGTGACTATAACGTGAGTACCTGTACTTGAATTCGACCGTAGGGCAAATACAGCGAGCATTGAAGAACGTGCGCTACTATCCGGCCACGGGCGAGCTCATCAGCCTGAGCGAGCAACAGATCGTCGACTGTGACCATAAGTTGAGTGTGGCTGAAACACAAAGATGTGATTGTAACGTAAGTGGTGGTAGCACGAGGGGCAAACAGAGCGAGCAAGCATTGGAAGGGGCACACTATCTAGCAACGGGGGAGCTCATCAGCCTCGGCGAGCAGCAGATCGCAACGTGAGTGTGGCCACAACGTGAGTGGTGAGGATGTGATTCTAACAGTCGTGTGACCACAGGACAGGACGGAAGGACGCTGCAAGTATAGAAGACGTAAAAGCACCCCACCTATGAGACTCACCCTTCTTTCCCGTTCCCCCTCCCCCGTTTTCTCCCACCCACACCCCCTGCCCTTCCCGTGTCTCCCTTGTCCTTTCCCTTCTTGCTTCAGTGCGATCCTAAGGAAAAGGAGGCGTGTGACTCGGGCTGCGGCGGCGGCCTGATGAACAACGTGTTTCGTTACATCGAGAAGGCTGGCGGCTTGCAGACGGAGCAGGAGTATGGCTACACGGGCAGGGAGGGGCTCTGCCAGTTTGATGCAGGGCGGGTGGCTGCGAGGGTTGAGTCGTTTGTGGAGGTGCCTCAGAAGGACGACCAGATGCAGGCGCACCTGGTCAAATACGGGCCTCTTGCAGGTGAGAGCAACTGTTCTTGAGGCTTGTACAGCACAGCTGCGTAAGGGCTGCGGGGGGGTTTAGTTACACGGGCAGGGAGGGGCACTGCCAGTTCGGCGCGGGATGAGTGGCAGCGAAGGTGGAGTCGTTAAGGTATAAAAATAAAAAAACTAAGGATCTCGGATGCTTTTGCATACAAAAACTCAAGGTGTTACAACGCTAAGCATTATTGATCCGCTTAACATTGTAACACCTTGAGTTCTTGTACGCAAGAGCACCCAAGATCGTTAGATTTTTTTTTTTTTTTTTTTGGTGCATTGTTCTCTCTTAATTCCAACTAAAATGTGTGTTCTTACATCAAGAATGTCTCCTGCCCTCTGCAACCGCCATGCGTTGAACCGCGGGGTGCATATGGTGGGGTATGAGTCACGCGGGTTCTCAATAAATCACCACCTCTCTTGCCCTTCCCACACCTTCCTATCCCCCTGCTTCCTCCCACTCTTCCCTTCCCCACTTCTACCCTTTCAGTTGCTCTCAACGCCAACTGGATGCAATCATACGTGAAAGGCGTCTCCTGCCCTCTGCTCTGCAACCGTCATGCCCTGAACCACGGTGTGCTCATGGTAGGGTACGGTTCCCATGGGTTCTCCCCTGCTCGCCTGCGCTACAAGGACTACTGGGTGATCAAGAACAGCTGGGGCAGCTCGTGGGGCGAGCAGGGGTATTACAAGCTGTGCCGGGGGAAGGATGAGTGCGGGATCGATTCTTATGTGTCTGCTGTGGTGGCTGTCAAGCCGGCTTCTGCTGCTGCTGCTGATGGTGCTGAAGCAGGGGTAGCGACCGAGTAAGAAGCGGAAGGCAGGGGATGAGGAGAGGGGAGGGGGGCAGGGGGAGAGGGGAGGAGGGACAGAGGAAGAGGGGAGAGGAGGGACAAAGAAAGAGGGGAGAGGAGGGACAAAGGAAGAGGGGAGAGGAGGGACAAAGGAAGAGGGGAGAGGAGGGAGAGGTGATGTTTTCCCTCACACGGGTTCTCTTTCCTTCTCCCCTGCTCGCCTGCATCACAAGGACTACTGGGTGATCAAGAACAGCTGGGGCGAGGCATGGGGAGAGCAGGGGTATTATCTGCTGTTATGACTCTGAAACCTGCTGCTGCTGCTGCTGCTGCTGCCTCCGCAGGGGATGAGGGAGGGGTAGTGACTGTGTAAGGGTGGGAAGGGAGAGGGGAGAGATGAGTGGGGTTGGAGGGAAAGTGGAGACCGGACAAAGGGGAGGAGGGAAGGAAGAGTTGTTACTTGCTTCCCCCGTTATATTTGTCTTACCGTATCTTTTTCCCTTGGTACAGCACACTTCGTCCGTGGTGTTCGCGTGTAGCGTTGGCTGGGTAGAGAAGAAAATAGTGTATCCTTTCTGTGATAGTTGGGAGGCTGGTTGGATGGCTATGGTGTGGGGTGAAGGTAAGGAGGGTTGTGGAACTGTGAATGATCTGTGACATAATGCGTCTTCCTTTAGAATGACTCGGATGAGTGTACCTCTAACAAGCATACTAAGAAGTGAAGGCTCCTCCATGACACAGGCTCCTTCATCTTCAAATCCAATCATCTGTACAAGTCATCTGATTTAGTACACAGTTACAAGTCTCCACTTATTGACTGAAAACTATTGGAATTAGTGAATCTTAAGCACTTCAGTCGTGTCGAAACACCACACCAGAAGCGAAGCACGCCATGTCGAAGCACCCGCGAGTCAACCCTCGGAGGTTAAAAGAGGTTGCTGGAGGTTACGCGAAAGTCAAAGGTCAAGCGACCTTTGACCTGACAAATACAGCGCGACAGTTAAGGACACACAGCTGACTCGTTACAAAGCAGTTGCCCGAGTCGTACTGTATCGAACCGCAACAGCAACAGTAAAGTAGTTACAAACTGCATCCTTTCATATTCCTTGTATTATTATATAATCTTGTACTTCCTTGCTATAATTAATCTACTTTGCCCTCACATACCAGCGCAAGGTGGTTCACAAACTTTGTTAAACGCTTCCGCTATTACAACACTATCCATCCAGAGTTCTCCCTTGAAAGATCCTAAGGGGCTATCTCAGCCCAACATGGTATGAGAGCAAACAGGGGAAACTCTACTACCTTCAAATCATTACAAGACATGGCAACAAGCAAGGAAAGGAGCTCCTCTAACGGCTCCCCAGGCACTACTCCTACTCCACCTCCTGCCTCTGGCCTGCAGACAGAGGAAGGCACGGCAACAAGACCAAGAGTAACATCTACTGAAACTCCCGCAAATCACCCCGCGAACTTCGACCCGAGTATAATGGAGAAGTTCTTCTCCTTCATGTCCTTCTACGAGCAGCACCAGCAGTCGGGACCTGCACAATCACACAACAGCAACAACAACGGAGCAACACCCATGAGCCTTGACGGGTCGTCATATGCGCGCGGAAACCAACAGCAGCAACCTACCTTCGCCCCGTACGAGCGCGGGTCGATCAGCTTCATGCCGCAGCCTTCACCTGGACAAGATAAACCACTGGACGCGTTACAAGTGCAATCGCAGTTCGCGCACGTTCTGAAGCTGCAGACATCAAGGCCCTTCGACGGAAAGGACTTCTTCACCTGGTCATTCGAGTTTGAGTTAATGATGGAAGGCGCGCAGATACTCGGCTTCTTCGACGGGTCCCTGCAATATCCAGCAAACGGCACACAGTATGAGAAGCAGCAGTATACGTATCAATCGATGATGGCGTATACGATTCTACTGAGGAACGTCACACCAACTCAGCAGCAGAACATACGCTCTTACCGGGGTTACGGCAACTCCGCTGAGCTCGCGTACAGCCACCTGAAGAGCCTGTATCAAGCAACCCAAGCGCACCTGCATATGCACCACTCGAGAAAGTGTACAGCGACATCTTGTACAACCGCGAACCCGGACAAAACGCATACAACTACACCATCACCTTCATCGACGCCGCTACACGTTACGTCTGGCACCTAAACTTACCAAGTCGCGACATGGCTTTCGAGGCTTTCGTGGCATGGCTTCCAGCAGCAGAACGGGAATCGGGAGCTAAACTCAAAAGTTTTCAATCAGACGGAGGAGGAGAATACTCGTCACAGCGGTTCAAGCAGTATCTGGCGGAGAAGGGAATCAAGAGACTCATCTCCCTTCCCTACGCCCATCAACAGCAGGGTGTAGCAGAAAGGATGAACAGGACTCTGCAGAACACCATGCGCAAACTGTTACGTGGCATGCGGCTACCCAACCACCAGTGGCCCGAAGCAATGGACCACGCCGTGATGCTGCACAACTTGCTTTCTTCGTCGTCACTCCCGAACAACACATCACCGCATCTGCTGTGGACAGGGAAACTGGGCAGCACAAAAATGTTACGAGTCTTCGGCTGCATGGTACAGTACCGACCCCCATCTGCACGAGCCGGCCGATTCTCCCAACGCGCACAGTGGGGGCTACACCTGGGCATCGAAAAACATTACAACGCGTGGAAAATCTTCGACATCCACACCAAGGAAACAGTAGCAGCACGTGATGTGATTTTCTACGAACGGCTCACACTGCCAACGTATCTTGCCAACCTGGACGAAAATCGAGACCCCACAGGTGGCTTCCGTGGCGATCGAGCCTTCGCTTCGGCAGAAGACGAAGCTGACTGGGACGAGCAGAACGTGGACAGAGCCTCGGAAGAAGCCGGACCTCTTCCCTACTGCTCAGTGGACGTACCGATGGACGAAGATAACCCTCGCGAAAGCGTCAACGCCGAAACCTACTACCACTTCGCCGACAACGGTTACGTTACACCTGCTGAAGTCAACACCAACGAAGCAGAACGCGTAGGGCCCAATTTCGCACCTGATCCAGAAGCTGGAGACGAGGCAGTCTATCCCGAGGACACCACACTCCCCCGCTACACACAGAGTGGACTCCAGATACTCGGGCTCGTCACCGCAGTCCACGGCACCGCCATTCCTAAAGAGCCTGCAACGATTCAGCAGGCTCTGGGGGGGGAACACAGGGAAAAATGGCGTGAAGCCATGGACAAGGAGCTGAAAGCGCTAGAAGAACGCAACACCTGGAAAATCGTTCCTATCGGCGTAGCACGAAACAAGACCATTCTCACCGGAAAATGGGTCTTCCGCGTGAAGACGAAAGCAGATGGCACCATCGACAAATTCAAAGCGCGCTGGGTCGTACGCGGCTTCGACCAAGAGCACGGTCGCGACTTCACCGAAACCTTTGCTCCGGTCAGCCGACACACCTCACTACGCATTCTCCTCGCGATCGCCGCCATGAAGAAGAAAAGGCTACGACAAATCGACGTCGCAAACGCCTTTCTCTACGCACCTGTTGACGCAGAAATCTTCGTGGAGCTACCACACGGCTCCAGCACGGACTCCACACACGTCTGTCAACTACTCAAATCGCTCTACGGCATCAAACAAGCCCCACGACTGTGGCAACAGTACCTGCACGCCCGACTCGTTCGCATCGGCTTCAAGCAGCTACCGCACGATCAGGGAATGTATCGGCTCACGAAGGGTACAGACTACATCCTCCTAATCGTCTACGTAGACGATTTACTCTACATCGGCTCGACAGACAACGTCACCTCCTGGTTCGAAGGGGAGCTGCAGAAAGACCTCACGCTCACGGTCTCGTCTACCGTCACACAGTACCTCGGCCTCAACATCCGAGAAGAAGAAGATGCGATCTACCTCAACGCCGCGAAATATGCCGACACCATCGCCAAACGCTTCGCTCTCACACCAGCCGCCATCTCCACGCCATACCGCTACACGACAGGAACCGAGAAGGGACGATCCACTCTACTCAAACCAGCCGGCATACGCGACTATCAGAGGAAGCTCGGATGCCTCCTCTTCGCAGCCGTCACTTGCCGTCCCGACCTCTCATACTCCGCAAGTCAACTCGCCACCTACCTCAAGAGGCCTGAAGCAGAACATCTGGCGGAACTTGACCGCGCTCTTCACTACTTCATCAGCACCGCGACGATCGGCCTAACCTACCACAAGAACGCAACTACACCAACTAAGCTAATCGGCTATGTCGACGCCGATCACGCCGGCGACTCCGACAACAGGCGCTCACGTACCGGCTACGTCTACCGCCTCGAACCTATCGGACCTATCTCCTGGCAGTCGAACAAGCAGGAGTTAATCGCGTTATCATCAGCTGAGGCAGAATATATCGCACTCTGCTCAGCCACCAAGGAAGGCCTTTATCTTCGCGAGCTGCTGGAAGAAGCAAAGTTAGCTGAGTTACCCAACTTCACCCTGTTCTGCGACAACCAGTCTGCAATTCGCATCGCCAACAAGAACGGCTTCGCGAACAGGACGAAACACATCGCCCTGCGTTACTTCTTCGTGAAGGACGAGATCGAGAAGGGGAGACTTCAGCTGTCATACTGTCCCACGTCCGAGATGGCAGCCGATTATTTGACCAAGAAACTCGGAAAACAGAAATTCGAGTACTGCATGCTGCTGACTGGACAGAGCCACGTCATCAGCAACGACACTCCAGAAGCGAAGGGGAGTGTTGGAAATAGTGAATCTTAAGCACTTCAGTCGTGTCGAAACACCACACCAGAAGCGAAGCACGCCATGTCGAAGCACCCGCGAGTCAACCCTCGGAGGTTAAAAGAGGTTGCTGGAGGTTACGCGAAAGTCAAAGGTCAAGCGACCTTTGACCTGACAAATACAGCGCGACAGTTAAGGACACACAGCTGACTCGTTACAAAGCAGTTGCCCGAGTCGTACTGTATCGAACCGCAACAGCAACAGTAAAGTAGTTACAAACTGCATCCTTTCATATTCCTTGTATTATTATATAATCTTGTACTTCCTTGCTATAATTAATCTACTTTGCCCTCACATACCAGCGCAAGGTGGTTCACAAACTTTGTTAAACGCTTCCGCTATTACAACACTATCCATCCAGAGTTCTCCCTTGAAAGATCCTAAGGGGCTATCTCAGCCCAACAAAAACTGTATTCATGTGGCTGGTAGCTTGGACAAAGGCAAATTTGAAAAATAATCCAGGCTCACATGTCGGCTCAACCTTATTTGTGAACGGTGAAACACAAGATCCGTGGAAATAGCAGCTTTAGATGGTCGTGCGAACGAAACTGCTCAAGTGGGTAAGCAAATTGACACCGAAAATTGGGTTCACTTCACACATGGTAACAATTTGAAACCTCTTGTTGTGACATACGTTGACAACGACCAATGTGCTCCTGTGATGAGAAGCAGAGCCCATAAAATTGATGAATTTCGGCACTATTTTGCCAATGAAGACATGGTTTGAAACCTTACCTGTATTCCAACGCAGCCATTAACATCCAATGTGTGCAGGGAGTTGAGGCAAGAGGCAGAAAGGGCAGCCATGGCTGCGTCTGTGACCCCCCTTATGCCGTGCAGACTGGGAGAGTCGGGGGGAAGGGGGGGGGGGAGGAAGGGGGGGGGGGATGGGGGGAGAGGGGAGGGCGGCGAAGGGTGCGTGTGGAGTGGCTTTTTGAGTCGACTCAAAAACTTTTGACTTTTGAGACGTCTCAAAAGTCGACTCATCGCACGGGGAGAGGGGAGGGCGGCGAAGGGTGCGTATGGAGTGGCTGGGGTTTGTGGCTTTCGACGCGTCCCAAAAGAGAAATGCGTGTAAGTGCTTTAGCAGATTAATTAGAGCAGCATACCTTAAAAGCTCGAGATGATGACAGGAGGATGCCAGTTGGATGAGGCCCTGATCCGTTATAAGCACACACCTGGAGCGAAGATACACACAAAGCAGGGAGTGCATTGTATGTAAGAAGCAGCACCAAAAACAGCATACAGCTAGGCAGGGCACTAGAAGCAGGCTAGCAGGAAGAGAGATTAAGGGCTTATACAGAGTGAGCCCAATACTTGAAGCGACTCAAGCAGCACTGTGGACAGAGAAGTACAAACGGCACATAAACACATAATAGGTAACACACCATAAGCAGCAGCACATGCCAAGCAGCATACCAGGAGAGGTTTAGTGATTCGAGGTGAGAGAGCGAGCGACTCAACCATCGTGGAGAGACAAGTAAAATCGGCACGACAGGTTTAGTGTGTTGCGTGGCAAGTAAAATCGGCACACGCCACGCAACACAGAATAGGTAACACATTATCAGCAGCACGTGACGATGAGCAGCACGTGACGATGAGCAGCACGTGACGATGAGCAGCACGTGACAATGAGCAGCACGTGACAATGAGCATACCAGGAGATGTTGAGTGATTCGAGGTGAGAGCAGCAAGCAATGCCCTCCAGTCCCACGTCCGTCAGATGCTGTTGGGGAGGAGAGGGATGAGACATGAAAGCAATGACTTTTGTAGATTAAGCCTTAAAGCCCATCACCTGAGGGCAGCAGCGAGCAATGCCCTCTAGTCCTTTGTCTGTCAGATGCTGATGGGGATGAGAGGGATGAGGCGTGAAGCGAGATGTGATGTGATTGATAGCAAGGAGAGCGAGAATGTTGGGGGACAAAGCCTTAAAGCCCATCCCTGATGGAGAAGACAGCAGCGGGGGATGCCCTCCTGTCCTTTGTCGGTCAGATGCTGATGGGGAGCAAGCGATATGACTGTAAGAAGAGCAGAGGGAGGTAATGGAAAAGCAAGGCGAATGTGATAGAACGGAGAAACAAGGAGGTGTGATAGTGAGGAGTCTAGTTTTGAGACGCCTCAAAACGAAACAAGGAGGTGTGATAGTGAGGAGAGGTTAAATACGAGCGAACAAGGAGGTGTGATAGTGTTGGTCTGCTTGCTAGTCACCAGAAGGGAGACGTTTGCGTGCAAGACTAACAAGCAGAAGGGAGACGATTGTTGGTCTGCTTGATAGTGCAAGACTTACCTTCATGCTTCCATACCCAGCCCTTACATGCATGCATGCCGGAATAAGAAAGAACGGAATGTTAAGCTCAGCCATCTCCAATTTTGAGGCGCCTCAAAACTAGACTCATGCTTCCATGCCCATACGTGCATGCATGCCGGAATAAGAAAGAACAAAATTTTGAGGCGCCTCAAAAATGGTCTAGCACTCGCAGAATGTTAAGCTCAGCCATTTCCGCCATACCTTCATGCTTCCATGCCCAGCCCTTACATGCATGCAGGGACCCGATGGTTGCCAGGGACTCGTCTGTGAATGTAAAGCCCAGCCATTTCCGCCATACCTTCATGCCACACAGGTCTAGCACTCGCAGGTGGGAGAGGTGTCCGATGGTTGCCAGGGACTCGTCTGTGAAGCCGTTGGGGGGAAAGTGGAGAGGGTTGCAGGGAGAGAGGGTTGCAGGGAGTGAGGGGATAGACGGGAGTGAGGGGATAGACGGGAGTGAGGGGATAGACGGGAGTGAGGGGATAGACGGGAGTGAGGGGATAGACGGGAGTGAGGGGATAGACGGGAGTGAGGGGATAGACGGGAGTGAGGGGATAGACGGGAGTGAGGGGATAGACGGGATGATTTTTTAGGCGCCTCAAAAATCGTAGGGGGAAAGTGGAGAGGGATGCGGTGAGTGAGGGGATTGACGGGATGAGGGGAAGAGGCGCACATTGCCTCTCCGCTCAAGCACTCGCAGATGGGCTTGTTGACTCATAGTTGCAAGCTGAGGGGAGTCTGTGAAGCTGAGGGGAGTCTGTGAAGCTGTTGAGTAGACTGTGCAGAGGGGTGTGGGGAGTGAGGGGAGTGGATAAAGGGGGAGGGGGGTGGTGCGAGCGTGGTGAGAGTGGCGGGAGGGTGGCGGGATGCCACATACACACGCGCACAGAGAGAGAGAGAGAGAGAGAGAGAGAGAGAGAGAGAGAGAGAGAGAGAGAGAGAGAGAGAGAGAGAGAGAGAGAGAGAGGGATGCCACATGCAGCCCAACCCACTCTTGGGACACACCCAGCGAATGCTATCCCTCTCGGGGTACGGAGCTGGGGATTGGCTGCACGCGGTCCCCTTCAACAGCTCGCTGCGCCTTGCCCCAGCACACTTCGCCAACGCGCTGCAGTTCCGCATGGGGCTGCCCTCCTCGGCCCCGGGCGCCTGCGACTGCCGCAATAGGGTGGCAATCACCGACAGGAGGCTGCCCAACCACCTGCTCCGCTGTGACACGGGGGGGGGACGGACTAACACACACAACGAGCTTCGCGACGAGTGTGTGCGCATGGCGGGGGACGCGGGATTCATGACACATAGCGAAACGACAGCCTTCTGCCCGGTCACTCGAAAGAAAGCCGATATAGCCATACGGGACAGGTCCTCAGGGGCAGTTCGGATAGGGGACGTGACGATCACGGACCCCATTAGCACCCGCGACCCCAACGCGATCAAAGGACGGGGCTGGGCGGCACGGGAGGCTGCAGATAAGAAAATCTCTGACTACGAGGGCTCCACGGCCTCGTGGGTCGGTTTCTTCCCCCTGGCCGTGGAGACTTACGGCTGCCCTAGCGAGGAAGTCCCTAAATTCCTAAAGCTCCTTGCCGACACCGCAGCCCGTAGGCACTTCAACGCAGCCCCCTCCTCCTACCAGGCTACAAAGCTGCTACACCAGTTCCGCCAGCGGTGGTCCGTGGCATTGCAGCGCGGGCAGTCTGTGAGCTTCATGACTAAATGCAACTTCGCGGCACAGGTGGAAAACCCACCTGTGGGGACGCCGGGTGAGGGCATGTCCCTCGGGGATTGCTTTGCAATCCTGGAGCCGGCACTGGAGCTCCCTTAGGTGGAGCGGTAGGGAGAGGGGGATGAAGGGGCGGGGTTAGTACCTACGTTACATGTTCCAGGTGCCTCTTTCTTCCGTGCATGTCTGTACCCTTCTGTTTGCTAATACAAGGACCGCTTGAGAGAGAGAGAGAGAGAGAGAGAGAGAGAGAGAGAGAGAGAGAGAGAGAGAGAGAGAGAGAGAGCCTCATCCCCCTGGTCCGCTTATCCTACGGAGTCCCCTCCTCACTCTTCCTCGACCACGAGTTCGCAGCGGCTCCTCTGCAAAGCGCCAAGGGGTCCGCCAAGGAGATCCCCTCGGCCCCCTTCTATTCGCCTCCAGCATCCACCCCTGCCTCGTTGCGACGGCTGCGGCTCACCCACAGGTGGTCCTACTCGCCTATGCCGACGACATCACGCTGCTTGGTGATGCGTCTGCCTGCGCCGCGGCATTTGACCACCTCACAGCCGCGCTCACCTCCATGGGACTCCTCCACAACCCTGCTAAGTGCGCGGCCTGATCCGCCGCCCCAATCGACCCTGCCTCCGTCCCTCCCGGCATCACCACCTCGAGTGACGGGCTGCAAGTCCTCGGCAGCCCCGTCAGCACAACACAAGGCTGCGCCACGGCAGTCAGGCAGAGACTCTCAGCAGCAGCTGAACCACTTCCGCTATTGGCGCAAATGGACCCGCAGCTCTGCCTCCTCCTCCTCACACGCTGCGTCGGCCGCCGCGCCTCCTTCCTGGCACGGACAACCCCGCGGGAGGTCCTGCCCACAGCAGAATGGTCAGCTTGGGGGGAGCGGCTCCTCCACGCGTTTCTCAAGGCCGCCCACATTGTCGCGCCAAGGAGCAACGCGGAAAGGAGACGTATCTGGCGACAGGCCGCGCTTCCCGTTACCTTGGGGGGTTTGGGCATCACCGACCCGGCCGTGGAAGGGAGTTACGCGTACCTCGCGTCGGTGATCGGCGCGGCCCACCTCCTGCACTCGCTAGCCGATTCCCTACACCCCGCCATAGCCGCACTGCTCCCCCTTATGGACTCCGTCCCAGACTCCGCCGCGGCCCTGCCCTCGCGCCTAGCTGCGGCTGAAGCGGCCCTGCCTCCAGACGGCCTAGAGGCCCTTCGGGCTGGTAAAAGTGACCCCAAGGGACTGAAGCTCCAGCAGGCCCTGGCCCTGGCGGTCCACACCCGCCGCTACCTCCGAGTGCTGAACACGGCACGGCGGATGCGCCCAAATCCGCTCTCAGGGCACGCCCAGCGGATGCAGTCCCTGCTGGGCCCGGGAGCAGGGGACTGGCTGCTGGCAATCCCACTCTCCTCTGCGCTAAGACTGGGCCCCTCCCAACACTCTACTGCATCCGCCTTCCGCCTTGGCCTCCCCCTCCCTGTCCCGATGCGGTGCGACTGCCGATACCGCACCGCCTTCCCTGATGACCGCCTCCCGAACCACCTTATGCGCTGCGAGAAGGGGAAGGGGAGGACTGCCACACACCATGCTATCAGGGATGAAATCGCAAGGATAGGGGCGGAAGCAGGCTTCACGGTGCACAAGGAGACCTACGCCTATACTCTGGTTGAAAACCTTAAAGCGGATGTCTCCATCCGCCATCCCCTGACCGGAGAAGTTTGGCTTTGTGATGTGACCGTGACCGACCCGGTGTCCTACCAGGACGAGAACTGCAACCGCGCACCTGGCTGGGCGGCTAGGGCGGCAGCTGCACGGAAGGAGGAGAAATATGCGGGGCGGAACGCGTGGGTGGGGTTCTACGCTTTGGCCGTGGAGACCTACGGCTACCCGTCGCAGGGGGTGCTGGCTACCTTCGGCAGTGCGCGGAGCTGGCTGCAAAGCTCCGCTACAACGCGGCACCTACCTCTCGAGAGGCTGCCAAGCTGCTGACGGAGTACCGCCAGCGCTGGAGCGTGTGCCTCCAGAGGGCGCAGGCGAACGCCCTCCGCACCAAGACCAACGAGGCCCTGGAGGCGGACGAGCTCCGCCTGCAAGGGCCGTGGGCCCCTCTCAACGAGGGGCAGCTGCACCAGCTGATCGAGCCCCCGTCCGACCACTAGGGTCGGACAGAGGGGGGCGGGGGAGGGTAGGAGGTTTTGAGTAGGCGGTAGGTTCCTGGTCGGGCTGTTTGTTTGCTTGGGTTTGCAACTTCCCTTGTACAACCCCCCTATAAATGCAAGGACCATGAGAGAGAGAGAGAGAGAGAGAGAGAGAGAGAGAGAGAGAGAGAGAGAGAGAGAGAGAGAGAGAGAGAGAGAGAGAGAGAGAGAGAGAGAGAGAGAGAGAGAGAGAGAGAGAGAGAGAGAGAGAGAGAGAGAGAATCTGGACAGGGCGAGCGGGGGAGAATCTGGCGGCAGGCCGCGTTACCCGTGACACTGGGCGGCCTCGGCATCACCAATCCAGCAACGGAAGGGGTGTTCGCTTACCTAGCCTCGGTCATCTCCTCCGCCCACCTGCTGCGCTCGTTCGGTGACATTTTGCACCCCGCAATAGCCCATCTGCTGCCGCTACTGGATGCAAACGCCAACTCACCCTCGGTCCTGCCAAGGCGCCTTGCAGCGGCAGAGGCCACGCTGCCCCCGGATGGGCTGGAGGCTCTACAGGCCGGCCGGCGCGGTACAGATGGCCTGAAGCTACAGCAGGCCTTGTCGCTGGCCGTTCACACCGCTCGCTACATCGAGGTGCTCGATGCCTCGCGGGAGATGCCTCTGAATCCGCTCTTCGGCCACACCCAACGCCTGCAATCACTCCTGGGCCCCGGGGCAGGAGACTGGCTGTTGGCCATCCCCCTGACCCCAGCTCTCCGGCTCGGCCCCCCGCAGCACTCCACTGCATCCTCCTTCCGCCTAGGCCTCCCCCTTCCTGTCCCTCGGCGTTGCGACTGCCGGTACCGCACAACCTTCCCGGACCACCGCCTCCCCAACCACCTAATGCGTTGCGAGAAAGGCGGCGGGAGAATTGCCACTCACCATGCTCTTCGAGATGAGTGCGCGAGAATTTCGGCAGAGGCGGGCTACACGGTGCACAAGGAATCCACAATTTACTCACCGGTCGAAAACCTGAAAGCGGATGTTTGCATCCGCCATCCCGACACCGGCGAGGTCCACATGTGCGACATCACCGTGACGGACCCGGTCTCACACCAGGACGAATACGCACGTAAAGCACCAGGGTGGGGGGCTAGGATGCAAGCCGCAAGGAAGGAGGACAAGTACGCTCGGAGGAACGAGTGGGTCGGATTCCATGCCATGGCGGTCGAAACCTACGGCTAACCCTCCCCGGGAGTCCACGACTTCCTCCGCAGCTGCGCCGAGCTCGCGGGCAAACGGCGGTTCAACGCAGGGCCGAAGTCGAGGGAGGTGGCCAGGCTGCTCACGGAATACCGGCAGCGCTGGAGCGTCACACTCCAGCGCGCCCAGGCCAATGCCCTCCGCGACAAGACCCACGAGGCCTTCGCCGCGGACGAGCTAGGCCTGCAGGGCCCGTTCGGCTGCCTGGGGGAGGAGCAGCTGTACCAGCTGCTGGAAGACCCCACCGGCCAGTAGGGACGTGGTGAGAAGGGGCGGGCGACGGAGAAGCTGTAATACTTACGTGTTTGTTGCCTGTTTGTTGCTTGTTGGGTCCTGTTTGTTTGTTTAGATTAGCTTAACCTTAGTTCCTCTGTGTGTTCGGCCTTGGTGATAATACGAAGGACCATTCGAGAGAGAGAGCAGTTACCTGCAGTTATGGGCATCCCTCTGTGATGTGCTTAGGCTCATACAAACACTCTCACGCGCACGCACACATTCCCAATTGTCACCTGGAGAGAGCATAGAGCAGCAGCTCTTCCAAGCATGGGCATCCCGTTGTGACGTGCTTCAGACCCGCATCGGTCGCTTTCACACACCTGCTGGGTCACACACATGACACGCACACAGGGGGAAATATTGAAATCACTTTTGAGAATTCTCAAAAGTGATTTCAACATAGTCGGTTGCTTTCACACACCTGCTGGGTCGTACACATGAGTCACACACACGGGGAATGGAATGATGCTTTGATGAACGGGTGGAGGGATGGAGGGGTGGACAGGGGTGGACAGGGGTGGACAGGGGAGGACAGGGGTGGAAAGTGTTCTAGACGTGCTTCTTGAAAGAGTGAGACAAGCAGCAAAATCTCCAAGTGGGGCATCCCTCTGTGATGTGCTTGACACACGTGCTTTTGAGGCGCCTCAAAAGTCGTCTCTGATCTCGCAACAGGGGGCATCCATATGTGAAGTGCTTGAGACGCGTGTCTGTTGCTTTCACACTCCTGTGGGTCTCTCGCATGCACACAGCAAAACAGCTGAATTGGATTTTGAGAATTCTCAAAAACCAACTGAACATGGTCCTAAGCTTTTTCCAATCGTTGATTCGACTCGGCTCTGCACGCACCGAGTGAGGTTGAGAGACTTGAGGCGGGGAAGCGAGTTGGCAATGAAGCGAAGCGATGTGTCGGTGATGTTCTGCAGTGGTGGAGATGGGTGAAAGATGGGCGGAAATGGGTGGAAATTGGTGTAGAGTGGTGGAGAGTGGTGGAGTGGGTGATGGCGGTGAATTGTGGTTGAGAAGATGGTTTGGGTGAGGTGGAGAACATTGGTTGAGTGAGTGAGGGGAGATGTGTAAGTGAGCGTGTAGGTAAGTGATTGGCTAAGCTTTTTCTCCTGAGTGAGGTGAGGTGAGGTGAGGTGAGGTGAGGTGAGGTGGAGAACACTGGGTGAGTGGGTGTGTGGGTGAGTGATTGGCTAAGCTTTTTCTCCTTTGCTAAACCTTCGCCTTGGAAGTGCTACTCGCTGTAATGCCTAACAATCTGCAGAATACTGGGTCACAGAGTGAGTGCCTTTTGAGGCGCCTCAAAAGTCGGAGAACACTGGGTGAGTGAGTGAGTGAGTGCAAGTGAACGTAAGTGACTTATGAGGTGCCTCAAAAGATTCTCCTTGGAACTGCTACTCGCTGTAATGCCTAACAATCCGGAGAACACTGAGTCATAGAGTGAGTGCAAGTGAATGTGAGTGATTGGAGACCGAGAAATTGAGTGGGCGAGGGAGCGAGTGAGCGAGTGAGAGTGAGTGGGTGAAGGTTACCTTGCATCCGCTAAGGTTGTCGAACGCAGACAGGTGGGCTGCGGAGGCCCACCTGTCACGAGTGTGGGTTACCTTGCATCCGCTAAGGTTAAGTGACTGTAACGAGGAGCAACGCAGCACCACTTGCTTGACCCCTGAATCCGTCACTCTGGCAGGGGGAAAGGGAGCGGTAAGGGGGGGACAGGGGACGGGGTACGTGGGAAGGGGAGGGAGGAAGAGGAAAGAGGAAGGGAGGGGGAAGGGAGGGAGTGGGAAGGGAGGGAGTGGGAAGGGAGGGAGGGGAAAGGGAGGGAGTGGGAAGGGAGGGAGTGGGAAGGGAGGGAGTGGGAAGGGAGGGAGTGGGAAGGGAGGGAGTGGGAACAAGTGGACGCTTGAGAAACAGGAGGGAGAGGTGGATAGTGGAGGGATGGAGAGAAGAAGGTTGAGAAGAGGGGGAGCGGAGGGAGGGAGGGAAACTCACTTGAGGTTCCAGGAGAGATAGAAGGAGCGGAGGTTGGGGAGCAGTTAAGCAGCAGTGGGGGAGTGCAAGCCCAGGTCGCATTAGAGTCAAACGTGAAGGGAAGGGAAGGGGAGGGTGGGAGGGGGGGAGGGAAACTCACTTGAGGTTCCAGTAGAGCGAGAATGAGCGGAGGTTGGGGAGCAGCTTGGCAGCGGCAGTGACCCCTTGGTCAGTGACTTGCTGACAGGCGTTGAGATTGAGCGACACGAGGGGCTGGAGGGGAGGGGAGGGAGGGGAGAGAGAAGGAGGGTGATACAAGGACTGAGCTTCACAGCGGCGGTGACCCCTTGGTCCGTAACTTGCTGACAGGCGTTGAGATTGAGGGAAATGAGAGGCTGAGGAAGGGAGGGAAGCGGGAAGGGAGGGGAGCGGGAAGGGAGGGGAGCGGGAGGGAAGGGGGGGAGCGGGAAGGGAGGGGAGCGGGAAGGGCGGGGAGCGGGAAGGGAGGGGAGCGGGAAGGGAGGGGAGCGGGAAGGGAGGGGAGCGGGAAGGGAGGGGAGCGGGAAGGGAGGGGAGCGGGAAGGGAGGGGAGCGGGAAGGGAGGGGAGCGGGAAGGGAGGGGAGCGGGAAGGGAGGGGAGCGGGAAGGGAGGGGAGCGGGAAGGGAGGGGAGCGGGAAGGGAGGGGAGCGGGAAGGGAGGGGAGCGGGAAGGGAGGGGAGCGGGAAGGGAGGGGAGCGGGAAGGGAGGGGGAGCGGGAAGGGAGGGGAGCGGGAAGGGAGGGGAGCGGGAAGGGAGGGGAGCGGGAAGGGAGGGGAGCGGGAAGGGAGGGGAGCGGGAAGGGAGGGGAGCGGGAAGGGAGGGGAGCGGGAAGGGAGGGGAGCGGGAAGGGAGGGGAGCGGGAAGGGAGGGGAGCGGGAAGGGAGGGGAGCGGGGAAGGGAGGGGAGCGGGAAGGGAGGGGAGCGGGAAGGGAGGGGAGCGGGAAGGGAGGGGAGCGGGAAGGGAGGGGAGCGGGAAGGGAGGGGAGCGGGAAGGGAGGGGAGCGGGAAGGGAGGGGAGCGGGAAGGGAGGGGAGCGGGAAGGGAGGGGGAGCGGGAAGGGAGGGGAGCGGGAAGGGAAGGGAGGGGAGCGGGAAGGGAGGGGAGCGGGAAGGGAGGGGAGCGGGGGGGAAGGGAGGGGAGCGGGAAGGGAGGGGAGCGGGAAGGGAGGGGAGCGGGAAGGGAGGGGAGCGGGAAGGGAGGGGAGCGGGAAGGGAGGGGAGCGGGAAGGGAGGGGAGCGGGAAGGGAGGGGAGTGGGAAGGGAGGGGAGTGGGAAGGGAGGGGAGTGGGAAGGGAGGGGAGTGGGAAGGGAGGGGAGTGGGAAGGGAGGGGAGTGGGAAGGGAGGGGAGTGGGAAGGGAGGGGAGTGGGAAGGGAGGGGAGTGGGAAGGGAGGGGAGTGGGAAGGGGGGAGTGGGAAGGGAGGGGAGTGGGAAGGGAGGGGAGTGGGAAGGGAGGGGAGTGGGAAGGGAGGGGAGTGGGAAGGGAGGGGAGTGGGAAGGGAGGGGAGTGGGAAGGGAGGGGAGTGGGAAGGGAGGGGAGTGGGAAGGGAGGGGAGTGGGAAGGGAGGGGAGTGGGAAGGGAGGGGAGTGGGAAGGGAGGGGAGTGGGAAGGGAGGGGAGTGGGAAGGGAGGGGAGTGGGAAGGGAGGGGAGTGGGAAGGGAGGGGAGTGGGAAGGGAGGGGAGTGGGAAGGGAGGGGAGTGGGAAGGGAGGGGAGTGGGAAGGGAGGGGAGTGGGAAGGGAGGGGAGTGGGAGGGAGGGGAGAGGGGAGTGGGAAGGGAGGGGAGTGGGAAGGGAGGGGAGTGGGAAGGGAGGGGAGTGGGAAGGGAGGGGAGGGAAGGGAGGGGAGTGGGAAGGGAGGGGAGTGGGAAGGGAGGGGAGTGGGAAGGGAGGGGAGTGGGAAGGGAGGGGAGTGGGAAGGGAGGGGAGTGGGAAGGGAGGGGAGTGGGAAGGGAGGGGAGTGGGAAGGGAGGGGAGTGGGAAGGGAGGGGAGTGGGAAGGGAGGGGAGTGGGAAGGGAGGGGAGTGGGAAGGGAGGGGAGTGGGAAGGGAGGGGAGTGGGAAGGGAGGGGAGTGGGAAGGGAGGGGAGTGGGAAGGGAGGGGAGTGGGAAGGGAGGGGAGTGGGAAGGGAGGGGAGTGGGAAGGGAGGGGAGTGGGAAGGGAGGGGAGTGGGAAGGGAGGGGAGTGGGAAGGGAGGGGAGTGGGAAGGGAGGGGAGTGGGAAGGGAGGGGAGTGGGAAGGGAGGGGAGTGGGAAGGGAGGGGAGTGGGAAGGGAGGGGAGTGGGAAGGGAGGGGAGTGGGAAGGGAGGGGAGTGGGAAGGGAGGGGAGTGGGAAGGGAGGGGAGTGGGAAGGGAGGGGAGTGGGAAGGGAGGGGAGTGGGAAGGGAGGGGAGTGGGAAGGGAGGGGAGTGGGAAGGGAGGGGAGTGGGAAGGGAGGGGAGTGGGAAGGGAGGGGAGTGGGAAGGGAGGGGAGTGGGAAGGGAGGGGAGTGGTGAGCGACCCCTTGGCAAGATACTCTCATAACACGGATTCTGCTGTCAGTAGTGAGCGACCCTTGGCAAGATACTCTCATAACACGGATTCTGCTGTCAGTAGTGAGCGACCCCTTGGCAAGATACTCTCATAACACGGATTCTGCTGTCAGTAGTGAGCGACCCCTTGGCAAGTGACTTTGCTGGCAGATGAAGGTCCATATGCGAATTCTCAAAATATCCCCCCACCCTCCACCCCCACACCCCCCACCCCCCACGCGCCACGCGCCACCCCCCACCCGCCACCCCCCACCCCCCACCCCCCACCCGCCACCCCCCACCCACCACCCGCCACCCACCACCCACCGACCTTCCCCTGCAGCAGCAGCAGATCCGCGTCCGTGATTGGCTGGGCGAACTCGAGATTGAGATGCTCCAGGTGGGAGAAGCGGGGCTGGGGGGGAAACAGCAGGGAGAGCACGAGAGAGGAGGTAGAAGGAAGCGAGGGAGAGAGGGGTGGAGTGGTTTTCTGGTGGGTGGCGATTGGCTGGGCGAACTCCAGATTGAGATGCTCCAGGTGGGAGAAGTGGGGCTGGGGGATCGAAAGCAGGTGCAGAGCGCGAGGCAAGAGGGGGGAACACCGAGAAGCGAGTACTGATGCGGCGCAGAGGTCTTGTTGGCGATTGGCTGGGCGAATTCCAAATTGAGGTGCTCCAGGTGAGAGAAACGAGGCTGGGGGATCAACAGCGGGAAGAGCAGAGGCAGAGCACAAGATGGGGAGGGGACAGGAGCGGAAAACCGAGGGGCAGGGGAAGGAGCGAGCAATGATGCGATGCGATGCGATGCGTTCCAATGCAATGCGATGCGATGCGTTCCGATGCGATGTGACGCGATGCAATGCGTTCCGACGCAATGCGATGCGATTCGATGCGATGCCATGCCATGCGAGGCGCCTCTTCAAGTGTGGTGGTGACTGGCGGGGCAAATCCGACACACTGCTATGCTCCACGTGAGAGACAGGCGTTTTGAGACGTCTCAAAACACTTCTTCAATCACGTGGCAAATCCGACACACTGCTATGCTCCAGGTGAGAGACAGGCGAGGCTGGGGGATCAAGCCGGACAGAGGGAGGAGCGAAGGAGGCGAAGCAGAGGGGAGCAAGCTACACTTTGAACAGATTGAGGGAAAAGGTCCCCCCCGATGCCCACCCCCAACCAAACCCTGGCACCTTCTCCCTCTCCCCCTACGCCCCCATCCCGTGCACTCTTCCCCACCCCCCCCCCCACCATTTCCCCACGCGCATCCTCCCCACTTCCCCCTCAATTCCCCGGGGACCTCCCTTTCTGCGTACCCCTCAATCCCCCCATAAATCCCTCCCCTCCCCCTGCCAGCACACCTGCGGAAGCGCCTGAGCGAGCCTGGCACTGGCGTTAGTGGCGCCTTGCAGGGAGAGACACTGCTCCACACAGGGGTTCGGGTTAGCGGGGAGGCAGAGCGGGGGTTTACGGGGGAGAGGGTTTAGCACGGGGAGGGGTTTAAAGGGGGAAGAGAGACGGCGGAGATTTACGCTCGTATGCACCGCTGGCTGATGGTCCAGATACGTTACATACGAGGCGAATTACATACGAGGCGAATTACATACGAGGCGAATTTCGTAATAATTATTTATCGTGACAGATTTTTTAGAAATTCTTAAAACGAAGCGCTTGTCATGATGATAACTCAACGTAAGATTTGTTTTTTTCAGAGTTCGCAAGAATCCGCGCCTGTCGCGTCATTCTTATTAATGATTTGATCATCACGGCGGAATTAAAACCAGTGATACCTTCCACAACGCAGGTTGATACGCGGCGGTTCTTAGATCCCTGCACGCGCACGCCGCGGCGCACAGGTCGCGCTGCGGCAGCCACGGGAGCACGCATCGGAGCGCCTCAATTTCCCGATGTGACTCTAACGAGCAGCGTTCGATGTTACTTTGCGAAAACGAGGTTCGAGAGCTCTGCGGCGCTGACCCATCCATCGTAACCACAGCGCTAATTAAGTAGATAGAAACGAGCTCACGTAAAACGCGGAAGAGATAAATCTGTAAGCAGCTCGAACGACGCGATTTGAAGAGACAGGGAGAACGAGCCAGCACGAGTCGTGGTGCAGTCAAAGGAGTTATAACCCAGGGTCCACAGGTTTCAAAGGTAGGAAGGTTGGTTGGGAAGAAGATTACAATTGGATGGCGAGTAGCTGGGTTCCCGAAAACGCTGAACGCTGTTCGCCCGTTTTTGGGCGACAACGCTGTTACCACAATTGCCAGGCGACACAATTGCCAGACGTGAAACATCGCCAAACACACTCTGCGACCTTTCCCATTGCCTGCCGAGTCCAGTGACGGCTTGGTGCAAGCAAGAAGTAGAACGTCGTGAGTTGACTAAACGTGGCAGACGAGTTGGCGATCATGGGGCGCCAACTCACTTAGAGCGCCAACTCGTCTGCCACGTCTTTTGCTGTCATGGGGCGTCCATCACGAGCCAAAGTCGCGGCCCGCACCATGCAGTGATGGAAGTGAACACTCCACCGTTGTCCTACATTCACCTCCGTCACAACCTCATCCATCCCCATGTCGTCCGTAGCCATCTTCAACATATCAGCATGACTACGTTTACCAACACCCCGCTCCTGCCACCGACAAGGCCTCGAGCCGCTCCCCACCACAGTGCTCTCGATCTCCCGTGCAACAGCATCGGTTACGCTTTCCTGCCCAGGGGGGTAACTGCTGCGCTGTCGGGTTGATGTTTTCATCTGTAGCACGATGACATACAACGTGGGTGGTTAGGTTATGAGGGGCAAAGCCATTTTGACAAAAACCGAATGACACAACATACCGCACGAGCCTCCCAAAGTTGCAGGTTGAGCTTGGTCCGCCCCCGTCAGCACGTCCGACGGCGCGTCCGCCGGCGCGTCCACGATACGATCGCTAGACGAGATGGAGGCCTGTATGAGTAGGAAAGACGTCTCGGAGCACGGACGGACCCCGTGGACGGGGTGTGGATCGTAACCGAACATCTCACTCACATCGTCCCACTGCACATCCTCCATATCTCCTCTCTCCTCTCTCCACCGCTGCCACGCTCAGCGATGCTGCCGCCATCCTCCTGCACATTCACATTCCCCTCCACACTCCGACCTGAGTCTCCATTACGGTTTCCCCAAATGTCGCCCATTTGGGGAGGAGATGGAGCCACCTCATTAACCTTCCTCCTCTTGAACACCCTCCCATCCACACATGTTCGACCTCCATGACCCCCAACGAGCTCCTTCTCCCCACTGCCAGCCGCTGGTACTTGTTGACGCAGCCGCAACACCTTTCGCATCAGTGGATACTTCCATACTGCATTAGTGGCTTTCATCTTTTGGTAAGGGATGCGCTTCAAAATACCGCACACGGCCTGCACAAGGGACTCCCTAGAACTCCCTTTCGATAGCCGGCCCTTATATCCATTCTCTAGTAGCCATGCATGAAGATGCTCTGGTGCTACAGCCCACACATCTGCAATGGTCTTGCATTCAGAAACGCGGAGAGACGGCTTCTTGGCGTCAATAAAGTCGTGAATGAATCGACGTGTCAAGTTCCGCCCCTTATGCCAAACATCCATCTGGTGTTCAATGTTCTGGCCAATGATGGCTGCTTTGAAGGACCCCCCCTCGTCCGAGATAATGCCCTTGACCACAAAGCCGAGCTGTTTCAGCTGATCTAAGCCCTGTTCGAATGCAATTTTCTCGAGAGCTGTTGATGCGACACCTTCAATTTGTTTAGACACCGTCACACAGTGCATAACCTTTCTTGTGATCCGATCCATAAATGACACGGTGCACCATGCCCCCTCTCTAGCCTTGTCACATCGTCCATCAACACAAATCCATTCACCTGGAATCGGTCTTCTTCCCATTTCGGCTCTCACATCCTCCATTGACTTTGACGCCTGTTTTTGTATAGAGCACCACAAGCCATTCTCACCGCTCATGTACCGATAAAACGTCTGTTTACTAGGAATCCGCACTCCAAGAGTGCGACTGACCTCCCACAATGCTTGGAAGCCTAGACCGGCGAGCGCGAATGCCCCCATGTACCGTGACACGATGGGAGGGGTCCTAGGTCCCCGAGAACCTTGCCCCTCGTCAAAGGAATACCGTTGCGATGACCAGAATTCAAGGGAACCGCCACACTCATCACATATCCAAGCCACACCCAAGGTTGTCCACATCCGCAACCAAGACTGCAACTGCATCCGACCGTTGCACCCGGGCCGTACAGAACAACCAAGGCACAGGGTCATGAAGAACTGGACGATCAGCAGCGGATCTAGGAGACATACCAGAGACCCCGAGAGCTCAGCAAGACTAGGCGTCTCAGGCCATCCGGGAAGGGAACGCTTCTTACGGCCCAACCCATCAGTCCGTTGTGCAGCATCCACCCTGTCAAGCACACTCCAGGACAATGGTGGAACACAGCAAATCCACATACTGATAATGGACGAACGTGGGAATGGGACCGATGACCATGGCATCATGATAGGTGGAGTAACACACATCCACACCAGCCAGGGTACCTCCTTACCACCAATGTAACGAATGGGTTGCAGCCTATGCCACCTCGTTACCACCATAATACGCATGGGCTGCAGCCCAAGGCACCAGCTTTGTTGCATGACGTTCATACCTGGCAGGGGTAGACTCCTCATGCACGGCTTCCCCAGCAGTGGAATCTGCGCCCCCCACCTCTACCGTGTCGCGGTCATCATGCGGCGCACCGACTGGTACCGCCGCATGCTTTTCGGGGACAGCGACATGCTCAGCCTCATCCAACCCCTGTACGCGCGCCTCATCCTGAGACGTATCCACCCTGTGAAGCACATATATATGCAGTTTTGGAGCCAGGTTTTTAACAATAACTCGCATCTATGCATGGCATGCAATGTGCCAAATACGCTAACACTATCAAAACTAGTATTCTGGCTGCAGCCCATGGCACTTCCCGATCACATGGAGAAAACAAGTGCTGTGAGCCAAAGGCACCTACTTATCACCGGAGTAATACATGGGGCGGAAGCCCATGTCATCTACTTACCACAAGAGTAACGCATGGGCTGCAATCCAAGGCACCAGCTTTGCTGCATGACGTTCATACCTGTCTGGGCTTGACTCCTCATGCACCGCTTCCCCAGCAGTGGAATCTATAGTCCCCACCCCAACCGTGTCGCCCTCATCCTGCGGCGCACTGACTGGCACCTCCGCATGCTCTTCAGTGACAGCGACGTGCTCAGCCTCATCCAACCCCTCAACGCGCGCCTCATCCTGAGTCGCGTCCACCCTATCAAGCACGTAAAAATGCAATTTGGGGGCCAAGTTCCAATGAGCATCAGAGAACTATTGCTGTCTTGTTTCAAATGCGCTAACAATGATGAGAGTAGTGTCCTTGATGCAGCCTATGGCACCTGCTTACCACGGTGCCCTACACCCTAGGCTGCAAACAAAGGGCACCAACTTACCATCAGCGCGTGACATGGGCTGCAGCCCATGTCACCTCGTTACCACCAGAATAACACATGGGCACCAAACCAAGTGCACCTACTTACCGCCAGTGTACCACATGGCCCGCAGCTCATGACACCTCCTTATCACCAACGGAACACCCTCGCAGCCCTTCCTGCCAGCATAACATCTGAGCCACAAATGGGCTGCCGCCCATGGCAAACCCGCTGCACCAGGGTGTTATGTGTTTACGGCACGCATACCTGGCAGGGGTGCTCCTTGGCTGTATCTGATCATCGAGGGCTTCTGCATCGTCCTCTTCTACCTCCTCACCCTCGTCCTCCTCGGGGATGGGCAACATGTCCTCCTCCAGCACAAAAATGGCAGCATCCTCAACGTCCGTGCTCAGTACGCTCCCTGCTGGCACAAGTGGGTCTTGGAGTAGTTCTCCTGCCATTTAAGTGGAGTTGAAAGCAGGATTCAACGTACACTGAACAAAATAATTGTCCACATGCTCATGTTTTAAAAGAAGAATGTGCTTGGATGCTAGCGGGGATTAAGCCTTAATGAAAGGCCGCCATAAGGTTATAGCACGGAGGGTAGTACATCGTCTCACGTGGCTTCAAGGCTTTTAACACGGTTGAACCAGCATCTGTTATATCAATAAGAAGATACTACCATTTACAGTTTCAGTTTCACAGTCATGCCAAGCCGAATCTAGTACTTGGTCCAGCGACCCTTGGCCTTGAGCATAGCCCGCACCCGCCGAGGCATGCTGTCGATCAGCTCACTGCACCAGGCTGCAGGGATCTTCTCCCATTCCACTTGAACTCTGTCCCACAGCTCGAGAATGCCTGCAGGGGGGCGGGGGTAAGCAAGCAGCTGCTTCTTCAAGTACACCCACAGATGCTCAATGGGGTTGAGGTCTGGACTTGATGCTGGCTAAGGGAGAACCGAGTAGGGCGGCTCGGCTAGGTAACTTTTCACCATTTTGCATGTATGCTTGGGATCGTTGTCATGCTGGAAAACTACTGCCTCAGGGTCCAGCTCGTAATGCTCTATTGTCTGCTGCAGTTCCTCCTTAAGGATAGAACGGTATAACTCCCCGTTCATCCTCCCCTCTATCTTACACATACCGTCATACCCCGGATATACCCCCATGGGGGGCAATAATAAAACAGGTTTTTTGGGGGGGGTGGGCTTATAATCGAGTAAATTTATAAGCGCCGGCATTTATAAAATGACATATATCTTTTTTTTATGTTTTTTAACACCCAACTGTAGATCTCGTGCTTGCTTTTTCAATCGAGTCGAAGTTACATAGGGTCTTCTGTGAAATTCTCGCGCGCGCTGGGATGAGAGTGAATCTGACTCACATCCAGCTCCTGTCAGTTCCTGCTGACTGGACCCGCATCCAGTGCAGGGTCCGAATGTGAAGGGAACCGAATCTGCAACACATCCGCCTGCTAAAGTAAAAATCGTTACAGCGTTTTGAACACATTTCAAAATTTAAAGTTTACGTGCGCTTATAATAAAACAAGTTTTTTCAGGGGGTGCGCTTATAATCGAGCAGCGGATATAAGCGCCACACGCCAATTAAAAGCGCCAGGCGCTTATCCGAGGGTGGCGCTTATATCCGGGGTATGACGGTAAAACCGGCTCCCTGGTATGTCATGCACCCCCAAATCATGATGGAGCCGCCGCCATGTTTGACGGTCTGTTTGACATGGTGTGGCTCCATGGGATAGTCCCCGCGAATCCAGGCCCAATTACGCCCGTCGCTACTAAAACGGCATATCTTCGTCTCGTCAC